CCCTCTCCCCCTATCCATTCCCGTACCCCCCCAGCCCCACGGCAGCCCCCCCACCCACTCAACCCGCAACATACCCAACTCCCTACCCCCTCACCCCCACAGCTTTAGCCCACAACCTTGACACTCTGTCCCTCCGAGAACCCACATGGCTCATGGATACCGGTGCTACACACCATATTGCCTCCAATCCAGGTACTCTTTCTCATGTCTCTTCTCAAGTTTTATATTCACCTCACTATATCACTGTTGGTAATGGATCTAAAGTTCGCACTACGACGGTTGGTAACCACACCCTCCCCACCACCCCTCCCCTTTCCTTACACAATGTCCTCATTTCACCTCATATCACACATAATCTTATCTCTGTCCGCCAACTCACCCGTGATAACAACTGCACTGTTGAATTTGATGCTCATGGTTTTTCTGTGAAGGTTCGTCAGACGGGGACCGTGATGCATCGGTCCAATAATGTGGGTCCCCTCTACCCTGTCAGCGAACCAGGGACCGGCCCAAGCTCATGTTTCGTCCGTAGATCATCAAACCTGGCATCGTCGTCTTGGCCACCCAAGTCCTGCAGTTCTTCGTGGAGTCCCTCACAATTTTCCTTTATTTACAAATTGTCAACAAACTCTTTGTCATGCGTGTCAGTTGGGAAAGCATGTGCGCCTCCCATTTTACTCTTATAGTCGTGTTTCTTATTTTCCGTTTCAACTTTTGCATACAGACTTATGGCAATCCCCTGTGCCAAGTATTACTGGTTTAAATTCTATATGTTGTTGTTGGATGATTTTTCTCATTACTTGTGGGTGTTTCCTTTAAGACATAAAAGTGATGCTTTTACTCACTTAAATTTTTTTGTGGCATATGTGAAAAATCATTTTAACACAACAATTAAAGCTGTTCAATGTGACAACGGAACTGAATACAGAAACTCACCTCTTAAAAATATTTTTAACTCTTTAGGAATTCTTTTCCGTTTCTCCTGCCCTCACACCAGTCAACAAAACGGACGTGCCGAACGCACCATTCGTACCATCAATAACACAGTTCGCACCCTCCTTTTCCAAGCCCAACTCCCGCCTGAATTTTGGGTCGAAGCCCTCTACATGGCGGCCCATCTCTTCAACATACTCCCCACCACCAC